CGTAAAGATTGCGGGGGTGGGTGTGAGGGCTTACATAATAATAGCATGCAGATTGATAAGATGATTTGATGTAAAGCCTGCATCTAAAAATCCGAGCATGACGCGTCCAAATGTGAGGGCATCAATCAATCAAGTTCTTGATGGTGATGGATGGAGGGACCTGAGTATTGATAATATATAGTGGATGGGATTTCTGAAAAATACATGCATGGGAATTGAGTTTTCTATTGTTGTGAAGTTAAGGACATGTAACATGTTCGGTTTGAGGGGAATAGAATTTCTTAACAAGAATTATAATTTGATCAATGTTTGATGGAACGACACACACGAATTAGAATCAAATTGTGCTGTAATTCGAGCGAGATAATTAATCGTGTAAAAGTGAATCATAGTTGAATTTTCAACAACTTGACATGAAAGAACTGAATACGTTTGTTTGTACATTTCTACCATGTACATACATTGACCAATCAAGGCCCATCAAGCCTAGCTCATAGCATTGCATCAATAGATTAGAACAAGCCTAAATGACACTGGATTGGCCATGATCCATGCATCAATGGATCCACAAGTACGATTGTTCTATTGTATGAAGACTAATGCGCCATGATCCATGCATCAATGGATCCACAAGTACGATTGTTCTATTGTATGAAGACTAATGCGCCATGATCTTTTATGCCCCTGGACTTGTAGAATCATATTGGAATCAATTGGAGCAAATTGATGATCGAGATATGCAAGAGGGGCCCTTGCCAAATGCAAGGAATGGTCGATCTAGACCATGTAGGTTGGGATTTGTTGGGAAATAGAGATGGGAAGAAGGCACATTTATAGCAAAGTGAGAATGATATCTCACATCTTTAAAGAGTTGTTAATCCTAAGAATTTAATAAGTCACAGCCTTTAGTGGTAAAATTACATTCATACACTTCAAACTTTTTAAGGCAAACTCTTCAAGAGCGTGTTTGGGAACAATTTTTATGAAATTTTAATCAAAATTATAGCCGTTATGTCAACTTGTGGGCCCCACCTGTGAGAGGGAANAATTAAACTTTCATTTCGTACTTGTATGTTAGCGTGTTTGGGAGCAATTTTTGTGAGATTTTAATCAAAATTATAATCGTTATAGTCAACCTGTGGGCCCTACTTGTGAGAGGGAAAGTAAAAAATGGTGGCTAATTTGATAGTTAACGGCTAGAATTTTGATTAAAATCTTGATTAAAATTTCTCCCAAACAGAGCCCAAATATATTTTTATTTTATGTCCTTACATCTAGTGGTGGCAAACTGGTCGAACGACTTGTCAGCTCGTGGACGGCACAAGCTGAGCATGATGACTCTCTAGACGAGCGGCTTGTGGGCTCGTTCGAGGCGAAGTGTTTATTTTTATTTTATTTTTTAAAAAATTTATCTTAAAAAAAATTTTACCTAGCTCAACTCACGAGTAACAAGTCGAGCATAAATAAACGAGCCACTAGTGACAAGCATGAGCCGAGCTCGTGTGCATAAGAGCCGAGCTCGTGTGCATAAGAGCCGAGCACCTCTAATTACACCCTATCAATTTTGGCCTTTAAAAAAAACCTCCATAAAATTCAAAAAATTGTAGTTGAAGTCTTTAACTTACTTTAGCCTATGTTTGACAACTATTATTTTGAAAACTATTTTTTTTACATATTCATTTCCAATCATACATTTAAACAACAAAAAATTCTGCAGTATATTCAAAATTTTCCATACTTTTTAACAATACATTCTTTTTTTATATATATAATCGTGGATGTCCGGACCAACTTGTCCGCACGTTGGCTAATTCCAAGGGGCCCTGAAATTTACGGTCTGATATTCACCGTAGTGGTCCTAAGAGGACTCGAACTGATAACCATTGGTGAGCAAACCCAAAGTCTGACCAAACAATACATTCTCATAAAAATAATTATTCAAAACTTTGTTTGTTCAAAATAATAGTTGTCAAATATTGGCTTAATTGGGCAAACATACCCCTCAACCTTGAATTCTCATCTCTTAAGTCACAAACTTCCTAATTTATGTTAGCTTGATCCTCCACGTACATTTTTCATATGTATTTCAATTAAAAAGCATACAAATCGTGAACGTCTCACATAATTAAGAGGCAAAATAGATAAACATTTTCTGTAATTACAAATTTAAAAGGAAAAAAATATCCCTATTTCCCCATTAGATGATTAACTTTACTATTTAAATACAATTTAAATTAAATAAAACAAAAATAACTTAGGAGCCTCTTAGCGCAATTTTCTTTAAATTTTATTCCAAACATGTCCCAAGTTTGATCCATGTGGCACTGGGTCCCCCATAAAAGAATAAATCAGATTGAAGTTTGTGGGCTCGAGAAGAAAAGATTTTCTTTCATTCTTTCAATCTCATTTTTCAGCTTTTAACATACAAAAATCAATAGAAAGAAATTCCAACCTTTTTCCCATGAATGAATCTAATCTTCTTTACCAGTACTACTGCTACACTCCACATTAAATAAATAAATAAATATTTATGGGTTTTGGTTAACAACTATCCTCAGCTTTTCTGCTGCTTCCATCGAATTATTTTAGTGCAAACTATACTGCCTCCTTGTTGCAGTTAGGTCATAGATTTGCTCACTGTATACAGTGTTAATGCAACTGATAGTGTATTGTTTGATGTATACTTTATAAAATCAGCTCTATTACATGAAAATGATTAAAAAGAATAATACAATAAGTCTGTTAAATCAGTCGAATCAGTGAATATAAAAGTTCACAGGGAGGAGTGGGATACGAAGTGCAAAAAGTCAAAAGAGAAATAGCTTCTTTTCCTGTCCATGAATTTGATTGACAATATATCTAAATATTCTTATTTGTTTTGATGAATAAAGCTACTTGTACTTCGTTGATAATTCATCTTTTGATTTTTAAAATTGATTTTTAAAACAAGTAGTGTAGATTCCCGTTAACTCGTGGTTATCAATAAAGATTGTACACGTAACATGATTCTTGTTTTTATTTTCGTCCTTCAATAAGAGAGAAAAGTTCGGGTAATATACTGAATTATATTCTCTTAATTGTACTTTGAGATTTTAAATCACCCGAGTAATTTAAGCTCATATTCGACTTTGTCACGTACAGAATATGTGAAAATATTCAATGTAAAGATTATGGGGTTGTCTGGCGGCGATTATTTTCCTGATTTTGAGCAAATATCTGATCGTTGCCAAAGAATTCAGTCGCATTAGTTGACTGACCATCTCGGGAATGGGGCCCTGTAACGGTCCATTTAGCAATTTTAATCTAGCCAAAATCAGAACCAGACAACCCCTAGATAAATGATTATTTCATTTTTGAAAAAATCATCAATCCCAGCTCGATACACTACTCCGCACATCCAAATATAACTTGGCACCTCTTTAAGAAGAAACTAAGTTTTACTAGGGCATACATCAAATTATAAAATCCTACTTAATAAATTATTATAAAGATTTAATAAATACCATCCTACTTCATAATTCTATGTCCACATGCATGTATGCATATGCTGCAAGTGCATTTACCATGTAAAGTTTGATAGATTGAATATCCAAAATTTGTAGCTCAATTGAATTAGTTGAAAGAGTTTTAGAAACATCACTTGACAGAATTTGTCCGTTTGAGAGAGAGACAAGTTTTTACTAAATGAACTCATAAAGTTCACAACGAAACGTAAAATAGTTCGAGTACTAAACTTGCACTAGCAATGAATTAGAGATAACTTGTTCGCTTTGAAATAACCCAATTTCATATTATCGCCACACAAAAAAAAAAAAAAAATCACTTTTAGCAACTATAGTTTACTTTGGAAATTTTCCTCATGCCCTTTCTGCTAAAACAATCCAAAAGTAACTTTTTATGGCAAAGGTGAAATTTTTTTGTAGTCTATATTTTTATCAAATGTTTGGTTAAATTAATAACAAAATGATCTCACATTCATGTGAAAATAACATTTGAAATACAAAATTGGGAGGGCCGAGGCGACGTAGAGCTAGAACTTATTTTTCACGAGCCATGTTCATGTTTTGTGTCGTTATATACCTTCTCATAAACTTTGTAGGTTCTTTAATAATTGCCTTGTCATTTTCGGAGTCTACTTCTAGAGGACCAAAACCTTTATTCGAAATGTCAACTCTTGTCGATATTTTCCTGTCTATACTCAAATGCATCTTTTCACGGAGGTCATATACACTACTCAAGGTGTATAGATCTTCGTTCAAGCTAAATGGACATTGTAATATTTTTGATGATTTACTGTTTAATCACAAATCGATTATTTTCTTTAAAATATTTATTTAGATAGCAGTTCAATCATGATTTAATATGACAAGTGAAAGATAGGAAAAAAAAAAACAAAGACAAGGATTTACCTTGTCTCTGTCCACACGATTATTATTTAATCTTGTACTGTTCTTCTGCACTGCTTACATATGAGATATGCATCAGCTTTATCGATCCCATTCCCATGGTGAAAAATCCAAACCTCTCTCTCTCTCTTCTCTCATTTTCTCCCTCTCTTTAAACTACTTTCTGTTCCCTTCCCTTCCTCTCATTTTTCTTCACTGACATATATAGGAATACCTGCACACTTCCTCACGCACGCACGCATACTTCTTCAGATAGATACATACATTATACATACACAATCTTCATCTTCTCTCTCTAGACTCTGTACCTATCTCTCTCTCTCTTTCTCTCTAGCCATATGATAGAGTGATCAGACGAGGACAGTCCAGAAATGCAGATTTCCCAGCCATATCATACCTTGCTATTTCGCCTTTTCTCGATTCATCAAATCCCAATGAGCGCTACTCCCTTATAATACTCCACCTCTCCCTTTACCCAATTACAAAACCTTACAAACAGTTCCCAATTTCCAATCCCTCTTGTAAATCATTATAATGCTTCTATTTCTCTAGGGTGCTTTGTAATTTCTTGTCTTGAGAAAATTTGTTTGATCAATGGAGAACTTTTACTGCCTTGATAGCAGCAATGATTCACATTTGCCTCCAGGGTTCAGATTCCACCCTACTGATGAAGAACTGATCACTTACTATCTTCTGAAGAAGGTTCTTGACTGTACCTTCACTAGTAGAGCCATTGCTGAAGTTGATCTTAACAAATGTGAGCCTTGGCAACTTCCTGGTAAGTTTTTCTTCAAACCCTAAACTGTGTTGTACACGTTTGATTTCTTGTTTATTTGTCATTTAAGTTCAACATTTTGTAAAGGGAAAGCTAAGATGGGAGAAAAAGAATGGTACTTTTTCAGCCTCCGGGATCGGAAATACCCAACTGGGTTAAGGACTAATCGCGCAACAGAAGCTGGATACTGGAAGGCCACTGGAAAAGACAGAGAAATTTACAGCTCAAAGACTTGCTCACTGGTGGGGATGAAGAAAACCCTAGTTTTCTACCGTGGAAGAGCTCCAAAGGGTGAAAAGAGCAACTGGGTTATGCATGAGTATCGTCTTGAAGGCAAATTAGCTTATCACTACTTGTCTAGAAATTCCAAGGTACAAAATTGAAAATCAATCTGTGTTTAGCATATACTGATATTGTATTGGTTCTTGCATGTTATGTTGCTTTCTGGGTTGTCTGATCATATACAGAAGTTAATTATGTCCAATATCCCCACATTTTTTTCTGTCAAATCTTTGATAAAGGTAGTTTTCAAATAGATTTCCCTTTCAAAATCTTGTAGAATAATTTCGTACGTAATAATTCATAATAATACTGCTATATGCAGTGATTTTAAGAGGTAAGATCTGCTGTAATATCCCTGCCTGCACAGTATATATCGTGTTAATTTGCATGTACCTTGACATCTTTATCATCGTGAAGAATCAAGACTAAATATTCACCCATTTTTCAAGTTTTAAAGTGTAATTTAAAGCCTATTCAAATCTTTTTTTAATTTGTGAAGAGAATGTTGTTATGGATGACAAGATGATACGAATGATGTGATGTTTGTCGCTGTTTGACGTCCAGGATGAGTGGGTGATTTCTCGAGTGTTTCAGAAGAGTGGCCCGGGTAGCGCCACCGCAGGCGGTGGCAAGAAGCGGCTGACCACCTGCATAAACCCTTTTTCTGAAGTTAGCTCTTCCTCTTCAGTTTCTCTGCCGCCACCCCTTGAGTCCTCAGCTGCCATCACCGAACATGATAGCTGCTCCTACGACGCCAACCCCACTAAGGCCAAAGAGCACGTGCCCTGTTTCTCCACCGCAGCACCACCCACTTTCAACCACAACTCTCTCTTCGAGCTGCCGCCGGCCACCGCGCAGAATATGTTTACCGCCGATCACTCATCAGCCGGCTTTCCAAGTAACAACATTGGTGGAATCTCGTCTTTTCCCAGTTTGAGGTCTCTCCAAGAAAATCTTCAGCTACCTTTCTTTTTCTCTACTCTGGCTCCTCCAACGATGCAAGGCGGCGCCAGTGATCAGATTACTGGTTATTGCCCTGTTAGTGTTAGCCAGTGGCCAACACCGGAGAATCAGAAAATGGGTCCCAGTTCCACTGAGTTCGACTGCATGTGGGGTTACTAATCGAAAATCTTGCTGATCAGTATTTGTAATCTTGTTCTGATGGATTCTCAATTATGATTAGGGTTTTTAAATATGAGCTTTGCTATTATCTGTAGGATCTTTTAATGCATGGAAAGTTGTTATGTACTATTTTTCAATTAAAAGCCTTTACTATTACTGCCATTGTCTTCTTCAAGTCCCCTCGGGCAGAAGAAAGGGCTCTGATCGGAAGGGAATAGGCTCGTAATCTCACTACAGAGAAATTCCGCAGCATTATTTTCTATGTAGTACTTGGTTCCTTGTCCTAATGTAATCAATGGTGTGGCCTACATGTTTTAAATAGTGATTACAAGTTTGTACCAATATTTGTAAGAACTGTGATTATTTCATAGCCGTAATGATGAATCATCATTAGTTTAGGTCATTACTAGCTCGTGATTGTTGTGATGTATTTTCTTGTATTGTCATCTTCGATAATCTGTCGAATGTCTCCCTGTTTAAATTCTGTGAAGTGATAACGTGCCAACTGTTCTACAGTATAAATTCTATGAAATTTTCCCTAGCTGTGTAGCATTGCTCATAAGTCAAGGGGATCTACGAACTTTCATCGAGGTGGGTGAGGACATTACTCTAAATCAATGGGTAAGGAAGGAGAACTTACCCAAGATTTGCGTAGAGATCACTTTTGAAAATACGTACTTTGTTATTTTAAACTTGACATTCAATAAAGGAGTTGTCTTGACATCTTCATGTAGATGTTTTAGAGGAGTTCTCAACGTTAAGAGCTCGATGTTGCTTCGATTAAGTCCTTGTGACACATTAATTAAAGCTCCTTCGCCAACTCTATTGGGAAAAACCCTAAAAGTCCTAGGTTTTGAGTCACCATCTCAAGCTTGGAATCTCACGTATATCTATATGGTAGTATTTATCGTCAGTAGCTACGTTATATTGGTAACGTGTATTTGGTGTAGCAATTACTATACGAATTCAATGTCATGTATGATAAGATCATATGCACATCATTAACTCGCAAAATCTTAAAGATGAGATCAATGAACTTGAGAATTAGCTTCTAAATATAATTTTCCTCTATGATGGAAATTTTCTATATGAAAACAACATATCATTGAATGTACATTGTTGTGGTAGGCAGAAGATTTCGTGAACTGTCGTTTACCCCCACATGGGATGTCCAAAAAGGGAGTTTAAACTAACAAAATAATTAGTAAATGTTTTTATAGATGTTAGTTGGTTTCTTATCAAATAAATTGTCGTACAATAACTAGATTGAGGATGGTCCCCCGGCAAGAACTTCCTACTACAACCACTTCAAAGTGGTCCTACTTAGCCATGTCTATGGACCCTTTTGCACTGGCCTGTCAACAATAAGATTATGTCGGCTTACCTCTCGCAATAATGAACTAACAAGAAAGTAGTTCATACTTGTCTTGGTTCATCACTCTCAATATTTTTCACTAAAATCGATTTTTTTTTAACAAAAATCTTACGCTTCCATTTATAGCGTCTAAAACTGCGCAAGATGATCCTTGAAATATGGAATAAATAATCAACATATAAGGACTTGATTTACTTCTCGACGAATATAATATTTTAAGATGAAATCCAACTTTATATATGGTATCATTGTATCAAAGCTCACTCAAACGAGTAATTCGAGCAAATCGAATAAACATGAAATAAATAATTAATAAAAAAACAAATATAACAACCATCTTAGGTAGAACTCACACTTAAAAATGAATTATAAAGACTGTTTGTCGCACATTTTTAGGAGTGAATGCATTTTTTTTTTTTTGGTAATGTGATGGTGAAAATATGTGGTTGAAAAAGGAAAAAAATAGTTATTAAAGCGGTGAAAAATACTATTTTATTGAAAAATTTGTTATTGAAAATGACTAGAAGAAAGAGAATGTGGCTCAAAGTCTCAAACAAAGGCAAAATGAGCGTACAAAATTGGTTATGAATTCACAAGTTGGACTTGTCACGAACATGAACGACTTGTAAGATGAGTGTACATAATTGATTATAAATCAACAATGCTGGCCTTTCGTGAGCAATGTGCAACACATTTAGATCGTTATAGTACTGTTATAAGATCAATTGTAGTGATTATTTGTTAAATCTTTTGTTTGGTAAAAAAATAATCGAATTTTATTTTTAATCATACATTTCATTAGACCCATAACTTTTATCCATCTTTCAGCGCACATTTACGAAACCAACTAAACCCTAATCAACTTTTAACAACATCACACGACCCCTAAATAACCCAAGTGACTCAACTAGCTAGAATCAACACAAGAGAAGCTTCAAAAATTCATGATGATTGATGATGACGACGAGTGCTGTTAAATTGTTTGAAACGGATAGCGTGATGAGCTCATATTTCAGCAATGCAATGAGTTGGCCTCCACTTTGGGCTTATGGAATGTGGACAAATGCGGAGATGTCAAATTTCACGTAATAATGGCAATGCACGCGGTATGCCAAATATGTGCAAATCCTTTGGATTTCCTTATGATGAAAAATGAGTGATTGTTTGCAGATAGGCAAAAATACACAACACCCCTTTTACCTATTTGTAAATTTTGTTGTACAAAAATGTGAACAAGGCGAAAGTGGAGACATCAAAAGCCACGATTTGGAAGGGATGGGGGTGGTGTGGGTTGGGGGTGACACATTTTTGGAGTTAATTGTATCATTACACATTAACTTTGCTTCGTTGTCATATTTTAGTCTATACATTTTGAATTATTTTCCAGTGGTTATTGAACTCGTACAAGTTGCACTTCTTGCATCACTCACAAAATTACCATTATCAAGGAAAGTCTACGTGACTGAATACGAAGTGACATGTTGACAGAGTTACAGTTGTCAAATAAGTACTGCATGGCTGCCATGTTTGAAATAGTTAATTGTTTCATTACACATGGAACTTTGTTCATCATAAGTTGCATTCCATCCATCGCTCACGAACTTGTATAAGTTGCATTCCATCCATCGCTCACGAACTTATCGTTGCTTTCTTTTTGGTTTACAATCTTTTAAGATTAGAGCAAATATCTAAACGCAAAAGAAAATAAATCAAGACTTTCTTTTCCTTTTGAGATGTGCAGTGTTCTATTTCAGGTTTTATTGAATTGTACATCAGTTGAGCCTGGGGATTGGACTTGTCACGAGGAAGCTAAACGCTTGACAGAGAAGAGGCTAGGGGTATCCATGGGTCCACTCGGGGGAGACTGGATACAGTTCACACTAAAAAAATACGAACAAATGACACTTTTTATTTGTTAAATTGAAAATAGATTTAGCCCCCAATTAATTTTAATCACATGTTTTATGAAATTCTTAATTTTTCCACCACACATTCATCAATTTTTGTCAAAATTTACTAAAATCTGATTTTAACTTTCACCAAATATGAGCTTAATAAAAAACTAATCATGAATCGAGTACTTGGATTTCTTTTATCTTGATGGCTTTTGATTATGAAATAACTTGGAGCATGCTGGAAATATGAGTGGGTCTAAGGGGATGGGATTGTGGTGGATTCCTATGCTTGATTTCGAATGATTTAATATAGTAGTATTTGTGCCATGAAATATTATTTTCGGATAAAATGGTAGTAGTATTTTATATCAATTTGATGTAAGAGGTCGAGATCCGTGTTCGTACCGATGCTGGAGCATTCCCGTAAAGTGAATGGACATTAAAGGAGCATGCTTGAAACTGAGTAGATCCAAGGGATTGATATTGGGGCGAATTTCGGAACTTGATTCTGAGTGATATATAATTGCTTGTATTGATTTCATGAGCTATAATTTTGAAGCAAAATGGTGACAATGCATTCTTCGAAAAATAATAAAAATAATTTCTACACAAACTTGACCCTGACGATGTGGAAAGTTGGCTATTTCCATGGATAAATGACAATCCACTTACATAGTATAGTATATTCTTAAAATTTTAAATAGATCTTTTGTACTTTTGGGGTTAGGATGGGCTGACTGCAAATTTTGGCCCAATTGGAGCCTTTACTTTGGGTGGGTCTAAAGGCTCAAGGTAGCCTGCGTTGAGAAACGCTTATCTAGATTAAGGGATAGTTTGACCAAGTTTTTGATAAAACTTGTTTTTGCCCCGTGCAACGCACGGGTAGTGTTATTTTTAAGGTAGTATTAGCCTCTTGAATGTTAAGACTAGATGAGAGATTGTATTACAAAATTTTCATCAACACATTTGTATAAAAGAAATAAATTATCAA